TATTTTCATCTGAGCTGGAGTTCCAGCGTCTGCCCTGGATCTACAGTCATTCAAGGCAGCAGGTCAAGGGGCATAGACTGAACTTGCAAGGAATGGCGAAGGCTCTGGAGTCACAAAGACATGGGCTAAGGTTAGCAGCTCTGTGACTTGGCTTCTTGACTTTGGGAATTTATTAACTTCTCTTTTTCTCTTCTGGAACATCCCAGCACTTTGAGAAATTATCACCACCTACAAAACAGCACCACCAGAAGAGCAATTGGAAGGACTGAATGCGATGTTCAAGTATGAGATGGATGTGGGACAGAAAATTCTCGCTAAAAAATGTTATTGTTAGACTGTGGTCAATGCTTAATGTTTTTGTGTATTTATGCTTTTAGTTGTCAGCAGTCTGGTGCAAATGTGGAGCTATTCCATTGGTTTTGATTTGAATTGGTTTCTATATAGTTGGCTTCCTTAAAAATAACATTTTCACTCTGGCTTTTATAGTACTTTATAATTTTCATGATTTATTTCAATGATATTGGAACACATGGATTTGTTAGAAAAGATATATATTTTCCTGCATCCATCATAATTATATTTTTCTGAAACATTAATAGCAATGATGGTTAGTTTGTTGAAAGGGGAGTTCCGGAGCCTGATGTGGTGGCACATGTCTTTAATCCCAGCACTCAGGAGGCAGAGGCAGGCAGATCTCTGTGAGTTCCAGACCAGCCTGGTCTCTGTCTCAAAAAGACCAAAAAAAAATATAAATAAATAAATAAATAAATAAATAAATAAATAAATAAATAAAAAATAGGAGTTCCATTTGGTTAATCCTGTAGTTAAGAATTGTGTATGAAAAGTGGCCACAAGAGTTAGGCTGGATACTGAGAATGGACTTCTTTTTATGAACTAGAAATGTAAGATTAATCTGCACCAGATGCCAAATAGTCAGTGGGTCTGCTTTGATAGGAGAGACCCCCAAGGTCTCTTGTGTGGTGAAAAGAGCAGAGCACAGGACCATGGGAAATATGTCCTGATATGTATTTGAGAAAAGAATACAGACAGAAAATTAGGTAGGAATATAAGTATTTATATTTATAGAGATGCTTATAGACATAGAAGCTTAATGCCTATATTTATAAAATCTGTCAGTAATGATTGTCCTAAAGAGAATAACTAAAATTTGTGTTGGATGTGAAGCATTTCATTACACAGAAGTTAAGCATTTGTATTATTGTAATTTATAAATAAAAAGCTAGTATAAAAATTACCGCCACCATTTTTCAATAGCTATTTATTGACTTCCTACCCATTATAATCAATGCAGTATTCTTTATATGCATATAAACGAATATTCAAAAGCACTTTGTAAGACAAGCAATGCTGCGTAGATTGTACATTACTGTAGAACAAGTAATGGACAGGCCTTTTCCTTCTCTGCTTTTAAGTAGAGTTTTCAGAAATCTGTAATTTGTAGCCAGCAGCATAGGTATTTACTTTTCCTCCGTAGCAAGTGAAAGGATTTCTTCAACTACGATCTCAAATCATTCAGGTTACAAATTCCGTCAGTATCTATATCACTGCTAGGGGTTCACTTGAGGTAGAGACTAATGCCTTTCACAAATATATTTTTTATTTTGCCTCTTAAAACAATCATTGTACATATTTTTTTCTGACTTGGAAGTTTTAGCCAGAATTTGCACAAAACCCAACTGGCTTCCTAACTAAATATATTTGCCTTTCAGCAAGAGTGCACCACTGCTGGATGGCTTTTGAAAGCATTGTAATTACAGCTACAAAAATACTGTCTAATTTCTACTATGCTGATTGCTTTGCAGTTTTCAATGATTTAAGTGAACAGCATCATTTATATTTTTGTATGCAAAATATTTGAAGTATCTGAGCATTGTTATATAATGCTTGTTCTATTGGTTGTTCCAACCTGTGATTTGAAAAACTACCATTAAAATGTCAAGAAGGCAGTGACACAGGTACAACACATTGCATGTTTTCCATCCCTCATTTGAGGGGGAAAAACAGAGCTAACAACTGGATCAAATTCAGTAGCAGCAAAGAAGTTAATGAACAGAAGGAGACCCAGACTGGTCTGTGCCTGCAGTGGCGGTTATCACACAGTCTCAGCAACGGGAGAGCACAGCAGAGACTGCTCACACAGCCTCAGCAGTGGGACAGCACAGCAGAGACTGCTCACACAGCCTCAGCAGTGGGACAGCACAGCAGAGACTGCTCACACAGCCTCAGCAGTGGGAGTCTGTCTTGGCTGCAGATTCTCTGGCTGTGTGTGATTTTACTCCTGTTTTGCCTGTGTGGATACTTGTGTGTGATCTAAGCAGAATGAAATACCCTAGATAAGCGAGGGTCCAGGTCATAAAAAGAGCAATTTTTTACCTTACTTGTTCAAAGTGATTGTTCACTGGCTGAAGCCTGCTTTTCTAACACATTAAATTTGCTATTTTTTGTGTGTTTGAGGGGGGAGAATGGGTGCCTTAGTCCTATTCTGTCTGTTCAAAACTGACATGTCATCCCAAACAGCTTTTGCACTATTCCAGCTGTGCCGTCATTCAGATGCCTGAAAAACAATTTCTTCAGAGTTTTACTCTCTTTATATAAGCCACAGCTTATAAATAACTTGTAAATAAGTCACTTTTCTTTCTCTAGCATGTTAGTCCTAAGAATAACTTTTCCCCTACCTACCCCACCCCGTTTTTAAAATGGCTCTGGGGATTGAATCTAGGGTTTTGCTTATGCTGAATAAATATTCTTTGTCACTGGGCATTATCCCAAACCATTTTTATTTTGCTTTGTTCTAAATTAAAGATTTTATTTTGAGATGGAGCCTCACAAAGTTGCCCAAGCTGGCTTTGCTCTCGCTCTCTATAGCCTGGGTAGACCTTGAACTTCTAATACTTCTGCCTTATTTCACCTATTAGGACAGCCCTTGTCAGGTATTTTCTGACTTGGAAATTGTACGGAGGGGTAGCTGGGATTGTGGGCCTGAGCTACAAGACCTTGCTTCAAGTTTCTTTTTAAAGAGGTTAAATATTATTTTTGTTTG